TTAGGGGCGCCTGGGTGGCTCAGTCGGTTAAGCGACTGCCTTCGGCTCGGGTCGTGATCCTGGAGTCCCGGGATCGAGTCCCGCATTGGGCTCCCTGCTCGGCGGGGAGTCTGCTTCTCCCTCTGACCCTCCCCCCTCTTGTGCTCTCTCTCTCTCTCTCTCTCATTCTCTCTCTCAAATAAATAAATAAAATCTTTAAAAAAAAAAAAAGAAATACACACTGTATTATTAAGAAGTAAAGGGAATGAGGGCGCCTGGGTGGCTCAGTTGGTTAAGCGACTGCCTTCGGCTAAGGTCATGATCCTGGAGTCCCGGGATCGAGTCCCGCATCGGGCTCCCTGCTCGGCAGGGAGCCTCCTTCTGCCTCTGACCCTCCCCCCTCTCATGTGCTCTCTGTCTCTCTCATTCTCTCTTTCTCTCAAATAAATAAATAAAAAATCTTAAAAAAAAAAAACAAATACTACATTAGCTTGAGCATCCGTTTCCCAGCAGGATCGGGTGGGTCCAGCGTGGAGCAGGGCAAGGCAGGAGAGGGTGCGGCTCCTGGTGCTGAGCACGGTGGGGAAGGGGGGGTGGTGGCCCCAAAGTGGGTGGAGTTCGGGCATCTATACTGAGCTCCCCACCTGCTGCCCGCTTCCGGGGGGATCTCTCTCACTTTGCTTCTGAGGCTGCTCCTAGCTGAGGTATTCTTCCCATCTTTCTGTTTGGGGCAGAAATTATTTTTGAAATGGAGCCACGGTGCAAAAACTCTTGAGTTTATTCATTCATATGTTCACAGATTATTTTATTTTATTTTTTTGAAAATATTTCCCTTTTTTTTTTTAAGATTTTTATTTATTTATTGAGAGAGAGAGAATGATAGAGAGCATGAGAGGGTGGAGGGTCAGAGGGAGAAGCAGACTCCCTGCCGAGCAGGGAGCCCGATGCGGGACTCGATCCCGGGACTCCAGGATCATGACCTGAGCCGAAGGCAGTTGTCCTGAGCCGCTAACACAGGCCAGGCTCCGTGCTAGGGGGCTACGGCAGAGAACAAGGTAGAAGGGGCCCCTGCTCATGCCATCTGAATACAAGTCAAATGCAAGTCTTTAAGCCGGAGGCCACAGCCTTTCATTCAGGAATCTGGAAACATCTGCTCAAAACCTGTCTCTACGTGCCTTGGAGAGTCTTTCCTCTCAGACCCACAAGAGTAGAAGCCAAAAGCACAGTGACGTCTACCATTGATTGCGCACTAACTACTTTATATACATATATATATATGTATATAAAAAGTATATATATATATACTTTTGAGCACTAACTACTATATCCCTATATTAAAGATGAGGAGACTGAGGCACAGGAGTTTTACCCAACATCACATGGCTACTAAGTTGCAAAGCTAGTATTTAAATCAGGCATTCTGTCTGCAGAAGTTGCCTGTTCAAGTGCTACATTATGGGGGTTCTATGCCCACCAGATACCAGGCATTGTGCTAGGGCTTTGTATCAGCCCTAGCTCTGAACCCTCCTAACTCTGCCAAAGGGTGATGTTTATTCCCAGTTTAGAAATGCAGAAACGGAGGCTCAGAAAAGTTAAGCAGGAGCCCAGGCATACAGAGCCACTGAGTGTCTGTGGTGGGATCTGAGAGCAGTTCTGTTCAGCTCTAGTGGGACTGCCCTGTAGGAGGGAAGGAGCTGGGGAGACAAGAGGGATGAAGGGTCAGCCATGGGGAGAAAGGAGCTAGTGGGGGTGGGAGGGGTCTGAGGGAGAACAAGGAGTTCTCAGAGTGAGGTGAAGCAGAGCAGAGTGGACACCGCAGGAGGTGTGAAAGGTGAAGGCCTGCGGAGAGAGCACTTTTCTGTGTGGAGCTGTGCTCAGAAGGCGGATTGCAAAGCACCAGCTAAGGAGTGAGCGTTCTATGAGCCTGTGGAGGTCCCCTTGTCAGGCAGTGAGTGGCTCCTTCCTGAGGACATGAGAGAGGGAAGGGCGCCTCTGAGCATGGGGAGACTGGGGTCAGTGCAGGGGCCAGACCATGTGCACACATGCGTGGAGAGTGCAGGGATTGTACCCAGAACATGAAAGGCCTGTTCTCAAGGAGGAGGGGCCCTCTGTTTCTAAGATCAGAAGAAAGAAGGAAAAGTGGGTACATCTACAGAAAAATTCTCAGGCAGTAGTGGTCAGGTGTTAGGGTGATTTGTAAAATGGGAATGCCCAGCTTTGTCCTTCAAACTTCCTCCATCGTGAGGCGGCTGTGTTTTGTGGGGCTGCCATACAAATGACCATAAACCGTGCAGCAGAAATCTAGTAGCTCACAGTTCTGGAGACCAGAAGTCTGAAGTCAAGCTTCACAGGGCCGGTGTCCCTGAGGGCTCTGAGGGAGAATCCATTCCAGGCTTCGTTCCTAGCTTCTGGTGGTTGCCTGTAATCCTTGGTTGCCTGTTCCTTGGCTGGTAGACCTATCACTCCAACCTCTGCTTCCGTCTTCTGGGAGACAATACATAGTATTCTCTATATGTGTGTCTGTGTCCAAATTTCCCTCGTATAAGAACACCAATCATTGGATTAGGGCCCACCTGAATCCTGTTTGACCTTATTTTAACTTGATTACATCACAAAGACCTTATTTCCAAATAAGGTTACATTCACTGGTACTGGGAGTTAGGGCATGAACATATCTTTTAGGGGGGTACAATTCAACCCAGAACAGGGCACAAGGGACATAGTGTGTGGGAAGGTGTCCTGATGGGTATAAAATGCTACAGAAATACAAGGTCACTGGTGAAAGGAATGTTAAAGTTAAATATGTTTATAAAGTCAACTTTTTTCTCCAGAATTTGTGTTTTGCATAAAATGCCATAGTTTCCAATAAAGGGTTTGCTGAAAGTAGTGTCCATCACTGGGAGAAAATGCTCTTAGCAAATGAGCTTCCTCATTGCATTCCTGGAAGGCTTCCAGAGAGAAAACACACATGCTACCACCATCCTTTTAGGGGGCATTAGGACACTATGCCTCCCTGCTGTCTCAGGCACCCTTTGGATCAGGACTCAACAGTTGGTTCTAACCATAAATCAAATAGTCTCCAGCTTCTCCTCCTCCCATGTTCCTCCTTCTTGCCATCCCCTAGATTTCTTGTTAATCCAGGTAAGAACAGAGGTCCTGTCCTTCAGGTGTGTCCTGAAGGATGGATGCCTTTGCGGATGATTTCGGCCTCTGCAGTTGCTGCAGGGGAGGTGGTGGCCAGAAGGGGGAACCATGTCTCAGGGGTAGGGGGGAAGGGACAGCTAGAGGGAGCCTGTCTAGACCCTGGCACTGCACAGTAGCCAGCCTTCCCCTCCCCTAGAACCTTGCTCAGCTAAGAGAAGTCCAGACTATCTGAGCAGGGAGGCTTCTTAAAAGAATTTAGTTCTGTCATTTTGGAGTCCATTTTTGGTCATGGAAGCCTTAAACAATTTATTTTTATTTATTTATTTTTTTAAAGATTTTATTTATTTATTTATTTGACACAGAGAGATAGGAGAGCAGGAACATAAACAGGGGGAGTGGGAGAGGGAGAAGCAGGCTTCCCGCTGAGCAGGGAGCCTGACTCGGGACTCGATCCCAGGACCCTGGGATCATGACCTGAGCCCAAAGCAGACGCCTAACGACTGAGCCACCCAGGCGCCCCGAGGCCTTAAACAATTTAATCAAAGCTATGGACCCCCCCATCCCAGAAATACATGCATGTCCACAAAAATGTTCACATAATTTCAAAAGCTGCACTGACACCCTCTAGCTTATTCATGAACTCAAGGCTAATAACCCCTGATTAAATACACTCTTCCCACCTTGTTTTCCTGAGGAGAAAAGTGAGATCAGCCAGAGAAACTGATTTGCTCCCACGTTGCACAGTTATTTAAAGGGAAATCCAACAGTGAAGTGCAAATTCTGGTCCCCTTGTTTCTAACCACTATGTATATAAAGTTTGTTTCCATTAAATAAAAATGACTCTTCCCCTTAAAGAAGCAGAATCTTGGAGAAAATTTTGCTTTTGGAGGGAGGCAGGAAAGGAATGCGGGGGGTGGGGGGCGGTGGAAGTGAATGTCAGGAGTAAAGGCCCCCCGGGGCCCCTAGCGTTTGTGACTGAGATTCATTCGGTCCAGCACAGACATTTGCAATGGGCCTGGAATCCCACTTTACACTAGTGGGGTGGGGTTGCTGAGAGCAAACAGTTGGGACTCTAGCTTTAAGGACCACCTCCTGCATTTGGGAGGTAAGTGGTATGTGTCTGCAAAAGGCTATAAAGGAAGGCAGAAGAGTTCTGGACTCGAGTGGGACTGTAGATCCTCACTGAGGGCGTCAGGGTACAAGGTTTCTGTAGTCCATTGATTTGCTGCCTTTGAGACTAGCTAGAATCTCGTGGTGAGTCTTGCCAAAAAGATCAAGGGCTCCACCGCAAAACCCCCACCACTCTCTTCTTCATCTAGCAACACATCCCCTGCTCCTCCCAAGATCCAAAACTCCTCTAAGACTCTGGGGCCAAGCCGCCTCAAATGGGGATGAGGGCAAAGATCCTGATTAACCGAGACTCAGGGGAGTCTATTGGGAAATTCGCTAGGGGTTCCTCGGAGTGGGGGAAATCTCACAGATTCTGAGGGGGTCTTAATTTGGAGATGTCCAAATTTAGCGGACTCCCTCCTCACTTGTGTCCAGGCTTGTATTTTGGAGTTCTCAGATTAGAGACACTGGATGCGGGGCGGGGGGCATGGTTTTGTTTGAGGCCGTCTCCAATAGCCCGGGGGCTCGCCGTGTCCCCTAACTCCGCGTCCCCACCGCCGGCTGCGCCAGGGCCTCGGGGCCCCGGAGAGCGAGCGAGGGAGCGCGGCGTCCCCGCCTCCCGGGCGGGCTGGGGGCGGGGAGGCGGGGAGGCGGGGACCCCTCCCCTTCGCCATCCCCTCGGGACCGGCCGCCCGGACGCTCGGAGGGACAGCGGGGGAAGGGAGAGGGCGGAGGGACGGGAGGCGGCGGCGGCGGCGGCGGCGGCGGCGGCGGGGCTCGGGCCATGGCGGAGCTGGCGGCGGCCCCGGGGCCCCGGTGAGCCCGGCCGTGGCGGCCGCCGAGCCAGGCCCGAGCCGTCGGGGGCCTGGCGAGCGCGGCGCCGGCGACTTTCCCCGCGGAGTTGTGGTCTAGTTTGGGGGGCGGCGCGGGGCCCGGGAGCCGGGGCGCGATCTCTCGCGGGGCCGGGAAGGGAGCGGCGGGCGGCGCGCGGAGGGGGCGGGGGAGCATGCCCGGCTGGAGCCCGGCCTCGGGGCGCGCCCCGGCCGCCGTCCCCTCCTCCGCCTCCTCCTTCTCCTCCTCCGTCTCCTCCTCCTCCTCCTCTTCCAGTCCCGCCGCCGCCGCCGCAGCCAACATGGCTGCGCTCCTGAGCCCGGGAGGCGGCCGCTGCTGAGCGCCGCTCGCCGCCCGGGCCCCCAGCCCGCCAGGCCCCGGCCCATGGCCCCCGCGGCCCCGCGGCCCCAGGCGCGCTAGGGCTGCAGCCGAGCGCCCGCCGCCCGAGGCCACTCGCCGCCGCCGCCGCCGCCCGCCCGCCCGCCGGCCTCGGGGAGCCGGAGCCGTCCGCGGGGCGGGGCGGGGCGGCCCGCCACCATGGAGCCCCAGCGCCGGGAGCTGCTCGCCCAGTGTCAGCAGAGCCTGGCCCAGGCCATGACCGAGGTGGAGGCCGTGCTCGGGCTGCTCGAGGCCGCGGGAGCGCTGAGCCCCGGCGAGCGGCGGCAGCTGGACGAGGAGGCGGGAGGCGCCAAGGCGGAGCTGCTGCTCAAGCTGCTGCTGGCCAAGGAGCGGGACCACTTCCAGGACCTGCGGGCGGCGCTGGAGAAGACGCAGCCTCACCTGCTGCCCATTCTCTACCTGAACGGCGTCGTCGGGCCGCCGCAGCCCTCGGAGGGCGCGGGTGAGTGGCAGCCCCTGGCCCTGCCTCTGGGACGGCCTTCCACCATCTCTCTATGCAGCTCCCAGGGGGGAACTCTCGAGGGCCACTCATTCACCTGGCTCTGGCCGTGGGTCGGGGCTTCCCTCCCTTGGGCCGTCTGGGGAGTGGGGTGGGGGGGGACTTGCGTGGTCCCCTACTTCGCACCTCCTCCCCCGGTCCCGCCCGTCGCTGTGAACAATGCCCGGCACTGCAGGCCCTGACTCTCCGGTTGCTACGGCATCGCATCGGGGTGCTCCTGAGACCACCAGGTCCAGCCGACCTCGGAGGGATGTCCCGCAGTCCCTTTGCTAAGACTCTTCATCATCTGCCGGTCATTTGGGAGTCCCTGCTAGGCTTTAATCAGTGATACAGTCTAGGAGAATGGAGCCTGGGCCAGGACTGGTCCTCCTGAATTTTGGCCCCTGCCACCCCGTTTCATGACCATTGGTGCTTTTTCACTTTCTGACTCTGTCTGCTCCCTCTGCCCAGAGTTCAGTCTGTTTGCTCACCGAGACTTGCGCTTGATTATGCACAATGCCTGTTAGGTTTCTTTGGAAACTGTGGGCCTGGAAAAGTTGGGGAAGTTGCATTGCACCATGGGAAAATCCTAGTAGTGGCTGTTGGGGCTCAGATCCCTCCCCGGCGGTGCTGAGCTGCCTGAGGAGGGAAGGCTGGTGGCTGGTGCCCTTGGGTGATGGGTTTGTGAGTATTCCTGTGTGTGTGTTGGGGGTGGGGGTACTACTGGGGGTTTGTGACAAGTGGTAGGCTTGGCCTAGCCTGGTTGGGGAGTGTGGAAAGCCAACCAGCCTTTTAGACAAGGAAGCTGGAGGAAGAAGGCATAGCACTGAGGAAGCCTGCAATTTTTTTTTCCTTTTTTTTTTTTTTAAAGATTATTTATTTATTAGAGAGTGAGCAGGAGAGAAACAGCATGAGAGGGGAGAGGGTCAGAGGGAGAAGCAGGCTCCCCACTGAGCCGGGAGCCCAATGTGGGACTCGATCCCAGGACCCTGGGATCATGACCTGAGCTGAAGGCAGTCGCTTAACCAACTGAGCCACCCAGGCGCCCAGGAAGCCTGCATTTATTAGGCTCCTACTGTTGTGGCAGGCACTCTGCTTTATTACATTTATTGTTGCTACTGTGTAAGCTGTCTACTTATTATTACTTTGCCAGAGAGAAAACTCCAGTTTGGAGGGGTTCAGAGGCTCAAAGTTTTGGGCACCAGGAGTTTTCAGTTATGACCTATTGTTTTGTTTAACATGTTCTGAGCCAGGGAGTGGCAAATGCCACCTTTTCTATATCTTGTCCTTGTTTTAAGAGTGAACTGAGAGGGCTGACAAAGAGCCCTGAGTAACTGTGGGCCCAAGGCTGATGAGACCCAATTATCTGGCTGTTAAAAGCCTCACTTATTGAGGGGGTGATTTTATAAGCTGTCCCTGGTAAGAGCTGCAGTGTATATTGGTCTCAGCCTCACTTTTTGTAGTGGAGGAAACTGAGACGCAAAGAATAAACTGCTGTGCACACAGCACATCATTTCATTGGTGGCCCTCTGTCTCCACTTTGGGATTTCTGACTCTAGCATTTACGTCCCTCAAACCTGCATTAGGTCTCCCAGTTATGGCCATAACTGAGTCGCTGGGCAAACACAGTCCTCTTCTGGGCTGGTGCTTTGGGGGAAGAAGTCAAGCTTCTCTCAGCCAGAGAAACTGATTTGCTCCCACGTTGCACAGTTATTTAAAGGGAAATCCAACAGTGAAGTGCAAATTCTGGTCCCCTTGTTTCTAACCACTATGTATATAAAGTTTGTTTCCATTAAATAAAAATGACTCTTCCCCTTAAAGAAGCAGAATCTTGGAGAAAATTTTGCTTTTGGAGGCAGGAAAGGAATGCGGGGGGTGGGGGGCGGTGGAAGTGAATGTCAGCCTCCTAAGAAGGCATCAGATGTACCCATGAGGATAAAGACACAGAGAAATCTCATTGGGGTAACTTTTTTTTTCTCAATTGCTTTTATCTTTCTATTTTTGAAGGAGAAAAATTGATCAAGGAAGTGAAGAAGTTAGAGTGCAGACCAACATCCTCCTTGGGATGTGTTTGAATCAGTTCTAGCTTTAATCTCTGGAATAGATGGATGGATTTCCATTAATTAGGTCCCCCTTCTCCGTGCCTGGCAGAGAAGGTGGGGCCTCACTTGGGCTGAGGTTGTAGGAGCTGGTCTTGACCTCTGAGGAAGGGACGGAGCAGGGTTTGGATTTTTCCCCCCTGAGGGCAGTGATTTAAGACCCTAGTTTTACCACAAGGCAGAATTCTGTGGCTTTGCAGAGGGTCATGAAATCCTCAGTAAAATAGTTGTCAGGGGGAAGTAACATTCATTTTAGTTACCCCTTTAGAGAAAAATTAGGATAGCATTTGGTATGGCAAGATAGAGCTTCTGGGGAGGGGTAACGTGGTATGCAAGTAAACAGCAATGTTGGGACCTTTGTAAAGGACGAGTATTTTTTTTTTTTTTTTAAAGATTTTATTTATTTGTCAGAGGGGGAGAGAGAGAGAGAGAGACAGAGAGCACAAGCAGGGGGAGTGGCAGGCAGAGGGAGAAGCAGGCTCCCTGCTGAGCAAGGAGCCGGATGCAGGACTCAATCCCAGGACTCTGGGATCATGACCTGAGCTGAAGGCAGATACTTAACTGACTGAGCTACCCAGGCTTCCCAAAGGATGAGTTATTGTGCAGTGGTTTTCCAGCTTTTTTTTTTTCCCCCTCTTTTCGCCAGTGAGCCCTTCTTATAGGGCAAAAATCTCAGTGCATAAAGAGCTACTCTGGTTGCAGGATTGGAGGCACCTTTCCCGGGGCATGCGGGTCCGCGGCTCTGCCATCACCCATTAGGGGCTTTCCTGGTGGTTTCCACACCCCTTGTGGGCCCCTGGTCCAGGATGCCCATCTCCTGGCTGGCACTGGTGCACTGGGATCTTGCTGTGCGGTAGGCAAATGTGGGCTGGCAGCCCCCCCACGTGGGCCTGGAGCTGAGGGGGAAACTGGCCTGGGTGGTACTGGGCAGGTCGCAAACCAAACCCATCTGCGCTGCTCATGCTCAGACCCAGACATTTATAACCCACCGTGCTCAGGCCTGGGGTATGAAGATGACTAAGGAACATACAGTGTATTTTATTTTGGGGGCAGGGACATTCCTTTTCCAGGATTGATGGTACGTTGCTGCTCAGCATTTTGAATCTTACTGCATACTTTCATATCTCACTTGATTTTGTAGCAACCCCAGATGAGGGTGTCTTGTCTGCATTGCGCTGGGTTCCACGCTCATATATGTATGGCGTGAAGACAGGCCAGAAGTTGCAGGGCAGAAAGGGGCCTGAGTTGAGGCTAAGCCCAGTGCTCCTGATTCCATGTTGGGATATTTTTTCCTATTATCTGATTAGGCCCCCTCAGTTCAATTTCAGGCCATTTCCTGCATTGGGAAACTCTGGAATTATGTAGCCTTTCCGTGTCCCAATACATGAATCTGCCCCCGCTGGTGGTAGTAAGAGGGGAGAATTCTTGTTCTCCTTTGAGTGGCTCAGGTGTCTGATGTCTTTTCTGCAGGTGAACCAGGATCTTATTTGGTCATTCAAAACCCACTCAGTCCCTTGTCTTTTCTCTTTGATTCAGTTACTAACATCTGGGTTTTCTCACTTGAAGATCCTTGACTGCCTGCCCTTGGAGTGAGGGCCCCTTCCTGGCTGGGAGCCTCAGTGTCCTCATCTGTGAGATGGGGCTAAGGGTGCAAGGCTGCCTGCCTCAGCCGCTGGGGTCGGGGGTGGGGACGGTATGTAATGGGGGAGGACTGAAGTGCCTGGTCCTGTGCTTGGTCCAGGTGGGGTTGCGATGCAGATGGAGACAGAGGTGGGGAGGATGTAATTCCAGCCCTCAGCTTGCCACCTAGATGGGGGAATGGGACACTCAGGAGAGTGACATAATGAGATAGATCAATTGAGTGATACGGATCCAAGCAGGCTTTTTCCACCTTTTAAAACTCTGTATACCACATTCTTTCCCCAAGTATTCTCATCCACCTCTCGTGGCTCTAATTACCACCTAAACGTGAGAGTCTCCCCAAATCATGTCACCCTAGGCCTCTCTTATGAGACAGAAGTGGCAGAACTGGGTGGTTGCCCCTGTGTGCTCAGAGATGAAAGTTTCCTTCTCGTCCCCCACCGTGCCTCCTGCTCAGGCTCCTCGCGAGCTGCCCGCTTGGCTTCACCAGAGGCAAGAGAGTGGACACAGCAGTGGCTGCTGGAGGAAGGCTTCGGAGGAGGGACTGGGGCTGGAGCTGGTGTCGAAGAGGCCATGTGAACGTGTGCTCAGGCAAAGGAGAGGAGGACGTTCTGGTTCAGGTTGTGGAAATGAAAGCAGCCAGAGCAGAGCAGGGGTCGGCACAGGCTGCGGGGGATGGGGGTGCAGAGGTAATCTGGCGTGGCCATAATGGCTGGGCTGAGCGAGGGCTTCGGGAGGCACTAGGAACTTAGACACAGACACTTGGCACAAGTTAAGGCTGGAGGAATGTTTTTTTTTTTTTTCCCCCAGTTTGTGCTTCCCCCCACTCCCAAAGATTGGGAGTGGGGTTTTCCTGTGTGTGTTTGTGTTTTTTTTAAGATTTTATTTATTTATTCGACAGAGAGACACGGCGAGAGAGGGAACACAAGCAGGGGGAGTGGGAGAGGGAGAAGCAGGCTTCCCGCCGAGCAGGGAGCCTGATGTGGGGCTCGATCCCAGGACCCTGGGATCATGACCTGAGCCGAAGGCAGACGCCTAACGACTGAGCCACCCAGGCGCCCCTGGAGGAATGCTTTTCCAGCAGGATGGAGTGTAGTTGGCTGCTGATTGTCAGGTGTGGATTATTTATTATTCATTAGAGGTTGCCTGGGCCTTTTGTTCTCTCTCTACCCTCTTCAGGTACCAGCTACATCATCTTCATCTTCTCCAGGCTGGAGGGTCAGC